TTGGTTTTTCCTGTTTTACGTGTTGCTACACTCTAGTTCGCTGCGGACGGTTGGGCGTGTCAGGCAGTATGAGTGTGTCACCCCGTCAAAGCCGTTCTCTGCCTTCTTGTTGAAGCGCGCATGCGACAAAAAGTGGTAGAAAACGAGTAATACGAACGATATGATACAGTCATATCACTTGCTCGCTTTACAACTGGTGGAGAACGGGTTTGGCACCGCGCCAAACTCATCCCGCCTGACACGCCCAACCGTCCGCAGCGAACCACACTATAGGCGCTATCGTTGAGACTCTGAGGAGGAAGTCGACCCGTTGCTTCGAGAAGGGAAGGCGGAGGAAAACCGAGGGAAGTCGTGTTTTTATGAAAACTTTCCCTAGCGACAGGACCTGCTAATCTCGACTAATCTTATACCTAAGCGTTAAGGAGAGATACAGAGGCTATGCTGGGATGTCTTCCACACCCCCGTCCCCACCCCCCCCCTCGGATTAACTTGGACCCCTTGGACCGCCTGAGCGTCCGCAGCGAGGCAAGCTGTGCGTATCAGACCGCGTTTTCAGCGTAATCTATGGTAAGGTAAGGTTACCCGTGAGCCTTAGAAAGGGTTTTCTGATCTGGAGGGTTCTATTAATGACGAATATCACAGAGTCACAGAGCAATCACTTTAGACTTTCACTGTATTGACATTGGGTAAGCAGACGTGAGAGCAATAGATCAGTGATACCAGTTATCCCGGTTGTTTGGCACTATAAAAGCGGCCGACGCGAGTGATGTTCACTTCGTCGCGAGCATGCCACTAACGGTCGAGCCATTGGAGGCCGCAGTTCCAGCTGCTGGAGGCAAATCCACTCACCAACTCACCAACAATACGAATCAGAGGATGATCTTCAAGATTCGAAGTACTAACAACGACGAGTATCGTGTTCGTCCCGTCTTTGGATTCGTCGACCCGGCTGGAAACGCAAGCATCGAAGTGACACGATTGGTGAGTTCCGTGCATGGTTAACTAGTGGGCGAGGCAACTGCTGGTGGTCTTCCACTGGCATTCGCTATTGAGCAGATCGTTCTTGCTAAAGCCTTGCCTTGATCGGCACTGTTTCAGAACGGCCCGCCGAAGGACGACCGAATTGTGGTGCAATTCGCACCCGCACCAAAGAACGCCAGCGACGCGAAGGAGGCATTTGGACAGACAGAAGTGACCAGCATGTTCTCCATCAATCTCAGTGCCACCTAAGTCCCGTCCAATAAACGATACCAAAATCTGTTAACGTTGTTTAAATCGCTATGATCATACGGAACAAGCTCGCTTACGGTTTTCACTGTCAGCGGATGGTGGATTCCAACCGCTGCCCTCTGGATAAGTGAGCTAGACCGCTGAATTGCGAAAAACGCTGAAAATGAGTAACCTTTCTCGTCTGGCTCAGGCTCAGTCGGTCGGCGGTGCTGGTGCAACACAGGGTACAGTCGTTATTACTGCGGTCAGTGGCGTGTCAGCAGCGCGCGGGCTCTGGCCGGTGCCGGGCTGTTCTTTGTTTCCGCTTCTGGGGTCCAGTGATTGGTGGGGAAGGTGCTAACGCTGCGCTGGATCCCACGCGCCGCTGACACGCCCCGACTGACCTCAGTGATATCGACTGCACCGTTCACCATGTCAAGAGATGACTGACGTGTCATTGACGTCACTCAACACAATAGTGACGTATCTGAAGATGCCTTTGACAACGATACAATGCAGATTTCGTCTTCATGAGAATATTGTGTAGCACCTTATTTTGAAAACTCTTAACAGATAACAGATCTGGGCTTTCTGGCTTTCTCAGCGCTGGCATTCAAAGGAGAACCTATTTGTCGCGAAATAGCTACAGCAAACTGGGCAGACTCGCTAACAGCGTCAACTGGTTATGCACACCGAGCTAGTTCCTGTGTTTTGCCACCAGGGCCTTTGTAACGGTAATACTCATTTAGGAAGGCAGGGGGAATGTATAGTGTAGGTCGCTGCGGACGGTTGGGCGTGTCAGGCGGGATGAGTTTGGCGCGGTGCCAAACCCGTTCTCCACCAGTTGTTAAAGCGAGCAAATGATATGACTGTATCATATCGTTCGTATTACTCGTTTTCTACCACTTTTTGTCGCATGCGCGCTTCAACAAGAAGGCAGAGAACGGCTTTGACGGGGTGACACACTCATACTGCCTGACACGCCCAACCGTCCACAGCGAACTAGACTGTAAGTGTCATATTTGCTCATCGCTCCGAGATGGTGATAGCATCTGACCTTAACTGCCACTGTTCGGATCGGGTGTAGGTTAGGACTCCACGAGAGGTCACGGCTGCCATGTCTCGCCTCGCCGCGCGCGGCGATTGCAACTGATTTTACGAGAGCAACATGGTCGTGCGATTAAGATCCCGGTCCCTTCACATAGTTCTGGCATCACGCGAATCTGCTTGGGATTTTTCCAAACCAGAATATTCAATGGGACGACAGTATTTTTGAATGGCAGCTGTACTTATTCGACGGGTTGCTGTATTTCTTCAATAGGACCTACTTTTACCGTCTGGCCGAGAATCTTAAACCTTACAATATCTTACAATTGAGGCCAAAAGAAGGATTCACCCTGAAAAGAATTTTCGTAGATTGCTGATGTATTCTCTAAATATTATTTCTATGTTAATGGGCGTTGTTTTATACTAGTAGTTGAATATCGGGCCCATTCCTTTCATAGCCTTCACACCTGCAAGTATAAAGCAGACGGTTGGAAATCTCATGAACTATGCAAATGCAAAAAATACATAGCGAAAGCATCGCGGAGAGCACCTCCGCGGCGGCGGCAGGCTGACCTCTCGTGGAGTCCTAACCGTTCCCCGTTCGGATCTCTTGAGCCGCACTCATGGCTGTGTAGCGCAGACCACTTTGTGGATTGTTCATTTTCATCCACCGGCTCAAGAACGACAGAACTGATAAACGGTAGGCGATACAAATGACAAGGTGGTGCTAAGCGCCAACAAGGCCAACCAGGCTCCGTTTGGCGTTGACTGGTTGGGGCAAATCCCCAATTTTGACGGTGCCCAGTCCGAGACTGTTACGGCTATTCCAGACTTCCCTATTAACACGAACTCCTTAAAGGCAATGGGCGCGATTGCTGCGTGCGGGCGGTTGTTGCAAGCCGGGAAGTTCGCGAGAGGGCGTTTGACCATACCTCACTCTGCCCGTCCACAAATAACGCTGGCGACAACTGCACCCTTCCAGCAGTCCTCCGGCTTGAACATGAGTATTGATTTCGTGCTAATAAGTGCCCATGTTGTTCCAGGCGTGCACATCGTTCACCTTTTGGCTTACATGTTCTAGCACAAATCATACATATACTTCGATTCGCTGAGATGCGGGGGGCGTGGCTGCGTACTTCACTACAGCGTGGCTGCTGCCGCGCTTTTGATGGTACTTTCGCTTTGGGACAATTGTAATCATGCTTTTTTTCGACACCAGACAATATAAAGTTTGTCTCAAATTCTATCATCACAGGAAAGTCCGCAAAACCGTGTTTGAATGAAGTACGGAGCCGCCTACCGCGTGTCAGAGATGTGGAGTGTACCTGCAGTCGTTTTTTCGCTGCGCAAGTTGGGGCATGCCGAGAGGAGGGTTGGGTTTCGCGCAGCGCCAGTCCGTTTACCAGTCAGTAACTGTTGAAGCAGGCAAGGACAGCAATGGGAGAACGGGCTCACGCCGCAGCAACTTCCCCCCCCCTAACACGCCTAAGGGTCTGCAGAAAAAACGATTCTCAATGCCTTGCTGCCCCATTTTCGGCACAGGCCAAACGGCACATTGCAATCTTAGCATTGAAAATATTACCTACGAGTTTTCATTTTGTGGACCAAAGTATACAAGAATTTGAAACAATTTTTAATAAGTTAACGAATGGATTCACAATGACTATTTGTAGCTCTCCATCGTATCATCTATACAGCCCTAGGGTCACAACTTTTTCGTCAATTTTTCTTTTTCTTCTTACTACTCCTTTGAGGTGTTGCGGGACCTGGTTCTTTGAAGTTTGGCAACGACTGGAGTTCAACGTCTTTCGAAAGAAGATTGTCCATTTTTTGACGAACTGTTGCTGTCACGCTCTGAAACAAGAATAAGGACTGGCGCGAGGAAGAGATGAAAAGGGTGGAAGAGTTGGGAAGAATCTCGTGGATAATGAGATATTGACTCTTATTTGGAAAGGCAAGAACTGCTGAAAGTCTGGCTAGTATCTTCCCAAACGAGGAGGGTGTGAATGGAGTACCAATTGCTACTGTCTTGAGCTGTCTATAATTGGTGAAAAAGGTTGCCATAGCTGCGGTCTGAACCACTCCTCCTCACACGTCGTCTAGTTCGCAGGGATAGTGACTGTGTACGGCAGAAGCCTGTCCCGTGCAAGGCAGATCTCACGTTAGTAGTATGGCTGCATCACACTTTGCGGCAACATCCACCTTTCTGAGCGGCCGGCAGCGTCAGCGACTAGGAAAGTGTAGATATCGATCTAGCGTCTACCGGCGTCTGCCAGCGTCCATCAGCGACCAGCAGCATCCGGGAGTGGGGAGCATAGAACAATAGGATGGGGGGGGGGGGGGGGGGGGGGGGGGGGGGGGGGGGGGGGGGGGGGGGGGGGGGGGGGGGGGGGGGGGGGGGGGGGGGGGGGGGGGGGGGGGGGGGGGGGGGGGGGGGGGGGGGGGGGGGGGGGGGGGGGGGGGGGGGGGGGGGGGGGGGGGGGGGGGGGGGGGGGGGGGGGGGGGGGGGGGGGGGGGGGGGGGGGGGGGGGGGGGGGGGGGGGGGGGGGGGGGGGGGGGGGGGGGGGGGGGGGGGGGGGGGGGGGGGGGGGGGGGGGGGGGGGGGGGGGGGGGGGGGGGGGGGGGGGGGGGGGGGGGGGGGGGGGGGGGGGGGGGGGGGGGGGGGGGGGGGGGGGGGGGGGGGGGGGGGGGGGGGGGGGGGGGGGGGGGGGGGGGGGGGGGGGGGGGGGGGGGGGGGGGGGGGGGGGGGGGGGGGGGGGGGGGGGGGGGGGGGGGGGGGGGGGGGGGGGGGGGGGGGGGGGGGGGGGGGGGGGGGGGGGGGGGGGGGGGGGGGGGGGGGGGGGGGGGGGGGGGGGGGGGGGGGTACAGCTTCTATCTCCCAACACCCCATATTCTACCGCATGTCTGCCTACCCTCCTGTCTCAACATAATCTTACCATCTGTCTGCTACCCTGCCTACCGCCCCATACCCTCCATTCTCGACGCCTGCTTGTCGCTGGTAGACGCTGGCAGATGCTACGTCGAATCCTACACTTCTCAAGCCCTCGAGACGCTGCTGGTCGCTGGTGAACACTGGCAGACGGTGGTCGACGCTGGCAGACGCTAGATCGATATCTATCCTTTCCTAGTCGCTGACGCTGCTGGACGCTTTTGGTTGCTGGTGGACGCTGCTGCAAAGTATAAACACCGCCCATGGAAGAGCCTAACTTATCATTGTGCCTTCCACAATGGCGCGTTCTCTTACCTTCTCATTGTCAGACAGGGGAGGAGCACCAGTGGCTAACTACCAATAAAAGTACCAGCCACACCCACACGATTACTGTGGCACGCATCTTCAAAGCGATCGCAAAGCGCTCAACTTTGGTGTCAGCTTTATTATCAGCACAGATCCCAGAAGGACAGAAGGATCGGTTAGCCTGGGTGAAATTGCCCTCAGTACGGTGAAGCTAGACATTGTGCTTTGTCCCAGGAGCATTATTATGCAACCTTAGGCAACTTACAGTTGCACCACCAACGATCTGCAGTTCCATGCCAGTATACAGTTGCATCCAGGCCATGATCTGTAATACGAGTAGAAGATGCCGTCTAGAAGCACGAGTATATATCGCGATCCGGTCGCTTGAATCGCGCGGCCTGATCGCGAAGTATGATCGCGCTCTAGGTGAGAGCGAAATGTTGTCAAGAAGTCCGAATCAAATGCTGTGGTCGAGCCAATACTGGATGTACCTGACGTATGGTTGCCCTATTTCCAGGGTCCATTTTCCACATCTTCTCAGTAATCACGTCAGCCAGAATTCTTTAGCATTCGTCCGGTAAATTCGGGAGTGACGCCGTCGAGAATCTAGTGGGGAGAAGACATAGGTGCTCGAGAAAACCTGATTAGTACCCGCTGACTCACCAACTGTTTTGCTTCTTCATTCGAGAGGCCTTCGTAGGGTTCTTTTACGGCGAATATTTCGTAAATTAAAAGCTGAAAAGGTGGTCAAGAGTCTTAACGGAGAGTGGGAAATACGTCGAACAGAAGTACGGACCAGTTTCTGCTTCAGGATAAAAACTCACTCCATAAGCATAAACATCGGATTTCTGCGTAAATCGAAAGGATTGGACAGATTCAGGTGCCATCCATCTGATGTTCGCTTTTTTCGGCGTCTTCATTGTATAGGTGCCGGTTTTTCTGGCTGTGCCGAAACCGCTCAGCTTCACCTTAACGACAACACTCCAAGCCTCCGTGCTCATCAGCTTTTCTAAGTGTCCTTACAAATTGTCTGTCGTACAGGCACTTCTTAGCGGCGAGATTTCGATGAAGGATAGAGTTCTGGTGGAGGTATTCAAGTCCCCAACCGACACTCATGGTCATCAAAATCATTTCATCTTGTTTCAGGTCTCTGTGGGTACGGAGAAATTCGTCCAGTGGTCCATCTGAAAATGCTGCTGTGAATTTGTAAGGCAGAATGCGTCACTTATCCCAACGTCCGCGTTCATTCTTGTCGCACTATTTTTAAGACGACGGCGCTACATCACAGGCCCCACTGCTATTCATTGAGGGCTGCAAGTGCCAATTTTTAACACTTCAGAATGGAACTTCTGCGAGCGCTGTCGATCGTAGTGACGTGATTACATGGCTCAGTCGCGAATTGTGACTGTGGGCCATGAGAGTAGAAGAGTAAAACACGTCAAGAATTGGCTGCTGTTCCTCAATGTTCAAATCCAGCTGTCACGAAGGGCAGTCAGGAGCAAAATGGTATCGGAAGCCAAGCGTAAGAACAAAAGTGAACCGGAAGGGAAGAATGCGTCCAATAAGCGGAACTTACAAGGGAGGTCGTTCAGGGCGTGGTGAGCTTTTTCAAAATGGTCTTGTGCATATTGTAGGGGCACATACGAGGACCAGAAAACTGAGGTTCGTTTTCGCTGCGCGCTTCTACGAATAAAAAAAAACGTAAAAAATAGGTCGATGGTTCGGATCCCACCGAGGACAAAATTTTGCTTTTCTACAATTTTTCATTTTTTGGATCCATGTTTGTCTAAATAATTGGTCCTAATAAAAACATTCACGATGAACTGAACAATCCTACTTTTATGGAGCAAAACTGCTTTTTCGTTCGAATTCGTTAGTATGCACAGACTCAGCTCTTCGGCACTATGCCGGTGCCAGATGGCACTGGAACCGAAAATAAAGTCTAGAATCGTGATCAGGACTGTCGATTACCCCTAGGAGCAAGTTTTGAGCGAAAAATTTTTTTGACTTTTTCGGGTTGTAGGGCCGACCATTTGGTCGGCAGTGTGAGCGGAGTCTCACATCTTCATAGCAGCGCATACACTAATCGTTGACGCTACGGCCGGACAACCCGAATACGCAAGCCCAAGAAGGTCCCACGTCACTTTTTTGAACGGAAAATTCGTATTAGTGGTAAGTCCAGCTGGGTCACAAATATACACCTATTCTTGGCGTCCACGCAATTTGGCGACAGAATAGCGCTGAACGTTCCCTACATGGGTGTACATAACGAATTCACTGGAAAGAAGATGTGGCCCCAAATTGTCTATAATTGACACCACACCAGAATTACTAAATTCGCAATCAGATCCACTGTATAGCCTATGAGGAACAACGTCCAGCAACAGTCTTGTTCAATGGTGCGTGAAAATCGAAATAGTTGAATAGCACTGACTCATGAGGTACAGCTACTCAGAATGTGCCCATAAATGGCAAATATCCGAGTTATATTCATGCGCAGACACTAATGGAAGCGAGAACAGCGAAATCTAAAAAATGCAAAAAGCCACGACGCAAGGGGAGCCGAACCATCAACCCCACCCTCACTGTCCGATTGCGAAACCTCCACTCTATCCGCTAGGCCATCCGATGCTCGACTATGCTAGCGCTCTTATCGTTGATGAAACCATTGCAAGAAGCCGTTCACCCTTGAGCACATGACCCAAGTTGGAAGCTCACTTACGGCGATTTTTCGCTTCGATTCAAACGGCCCCTTTATAAGGACCCCCCACTCAGCAACTGGTCAAAGTTGTAAGTGACCTACGCCGCATAGAGGCCCAGAACGAAGCAGATTCCACAGATTTCTTTTCACATCAGGTTGTTTTACCTCTCTCTGCAAGCGCGCAGCGACACAATCGAACACACTCTTCTCAAGTCGCTTGAACTGCAGCCCCCCAATCATGCCAAAAAACCACGTTTCCGAAGGGCACCACGCCGACACGCCTGAACGACGCTCGCCTTTAAGACCTTCTGTCAGTAATGCCCTCCCAAGAGTGACCTTGATGCAGGAACGGCCCTGCCAGCGGAGGTCCTACAGCTGGCTTGCTGATCCTCGAAGATCCAGACTAACGTCGTAAGTGAGCTGCCCTCCCTTGCCGATAGTGAGTGGATCTATAAGCACTCGAACTTCTTGCCGGGTATGGTTTGTCGGGTAGTCATGAATTGTTTCAGATCCTTTCGCTCAGAGAAGCGATCTTGCGACAAGGCTCAATAGAGTTAATCAACAAATCGTGTGGTAGTTTCACCAGAAATATCTCAGAATTCTCAATTGTTAAAGATCGTAAATGACATAACAGGAGACCGATTCGAGACATGAACACGTTATCGGGCTGAGCGATTAGACACGAACTCCGTAGTACCTGGCACAACACATGGGTGTTAAAGCGTCGTTTCATTATAGCACATATGTGCCACACATCTTTGACTTGTCCTTGTGGCACTCCTGTGATCGGCCGGCTAACCTAGAATTTTGTAAGCATCAGATCCGGCTAGCTAAAATTGTTAATGGCAGATGCTGAGCCCATTGACCCAATTGTTGCAACGCTGAGAGCCGTGCCCAACTTGGCCACCTTACGCTGATTCGAGGCTCTTAGCTCCTAAGTCCTTTACCAACATCGGCTGACTGGCTCATCAGGCTATTTTTATGAGTGCCAGCAAGGTTCGGGTTCACATGCAGTTGGTACAGTCGAAACGAGGGATAAAATGAGGCTCCACCAACGGGTTTCCACCACAGGGAGAATCCATTCATAATCGAAGTTCAACCGATTTATTATTTGTAGAGCAAGGCGACCGGAGGCGGGCTGATTCCACCCCTGCTGACACCGCCCGCCGCCAACTGATTGTTATCAACATTTTTTTTTTTTTTTTTTTTTTTTTTATTTTGTTTTTTCTTCAACTGCTCTCACGCACGCAGTTGCAGCGTGCAAACTAGCAGTTTCATAGCTAGTTGACTCGAAACAGTTGAGCGCTTCGGCGCTAAATCTTTTAGATCTCAATTTCTGTCCCTGCACGTGGTATGTGACAAGACAAGCGTAAGATGCCGCGCTGGTGGCGACACGCGACGCCGCGCCTGAAGGATGGGTTGTCCTGCCTGGCGATTGATTTCGAGTGTTGAAGGAACGGGAAATTCGTCATGGCACCTTGTTTCCGCTCAAATTCATGTGGGTATCGCTGCTCGAATCGACAAGCTGATGCACTTGGAAAAGTAGCCGCACGATATCCGCGGCGACCGCGCGACAAATCACGATTGTGCTCTCCCTTTCCTGCGCGCCTTCTCGCCTCCCTCGCTGCAACGTGGAACCAACGGTCTACAGCCGTGAGGTCCAGATTCGAGTCCTGGGTGTGAAGAACATATCTTTTTGAAGTGTTTTAGAAGTCATCCTTACCGTTTTAATGACGGCTGGTAACGGAGGTGCATCTTTGCGAATCAGCTTCCCTTTGCGCACTTCTCCACAGCTGAACTTTCCGACAAGCTGTTCGAGTTGCACGTTTTCTGCACGGAATTCCCATGAAGCCAGACCAATTCCTCTATTCAATTGTAGTTGTTGCTGTAAGTTATCAGGAAAGTAGTTCGGAAGTTGGAAATCACTCGAAACAATGGTTGAACCGACCGATTTGTACTCGAATGTATGCTTCATGTAAAAGGAAATAAGTTCAGGAACAGAACCGAAAGCGTGAAAGCTGGTGATGAAAAACTTTTTCTTGACCATTTGTACAATTACGTGGGTAATCTGCAAGCGCTCTATTTACGGTATTCTTCGGCTGATTGCTATCGGAGTTTGTGATAGCGGACTGGGGACTATACGGACTGGGGAACTCGTCCCGGCTGCGTTCATGTTTTTGGAGCGGAGCAGCGTCCCACGAGCAACCAATAGCGTCTACCATCCTTCCGAGCTTCTGGTGGCGTCACCGAATAGGAAAGTGTACATAACGATCCAGCGTATGGCAGCGCCCTCCAGCGCCTGCTAACATACGGTAGAGGACAGTATGACGCGGTAACGTAAGTAGCGACAGCTTGTACTCCTCCTATTGCCAATGGTAGCAGCATGGGGATGTGTCAAATGGCGGTGTGGGTACGACCCCCCTCGAAGAGGGTCCAGATACGACCCCCCCCTCCTGCTCTAACTGACAACCAGATGCATGTTCACCACAAATGGCTTCCTGAAATGGAATCTGGATTCTCGAAAGGCGCACTCTGCTCTAAAATACAGGAAATAAAAGGCTGTTTCAGCCTCATGCAATATGAGGCTGAACAACAGCCTCGCATTACCTACAATTTTGTCTTAGGATTCAAAATAAAACTCCTCGTTCGATAACTATGTATGACATGCAACTTGTAAAAGAACACAATTGAAATAGCGGCTAATGGTGATCATTGATAGGCTGAATTGGTGAAAAAATAGCCCCAAGGTGAGCGTGTCAGGGCCCAGATGTGCATTCAATGAATGGTGACGGGGAAATAATGAAAACATGCACGACACAACAAAGCGAAACATGGAAAATACAAAAATGCAGAGCTAAATGAAAAAAGGATAACCAGGCCGGCAGTAAATCGTTCCATACTTGGCTATTATCGATCAGGCTGCAGGGCGCAAGGCTGCGACCGCTTTCTTTGGAAAAACGTCATTGGAGCGCGGTTGTTGGACTTGCCAACGTCCTGGGGTCTGTTCGGGGGTTATATCTTTTTTAGGTGCGGAGCTTTTGAGGAATGGTGAGCAGCATGCAACGGCAAAGTTTCTACTATTGTGTATTCTACCTAGTTGCAAACTGAACAATCCCCCGTTGGTGAAATATTCCGGGATGGGTTTTGGATAGGGCTAGGGGTAAATCGCGAGCTGGTTTCCATGCTTCACGCGAGGATTGCTTCGTTCAAACGCAATTTCATCAGGACTGAAGTCGTCTTGAAACCCCTGATAACTCCAATAAGCTTTACAGTTTTTCTGAAGACCCACTAGTTCAGGAGATATTTTAGATGGGTCACAGATGCGCCACCCTCTGACCCACCCGAAAAATTGACTCCTTATGTGCCATTGTGAGGACCTTTCAGTGTGCCTTCAAAACACATATTTCCCTTCAAATGAGTG